ATAAAATATAATATGAATAGTTTTAATTTTATAACTTATAATTATTTTTATTATTTAAAAGTATTCAGATCTGAAAGTAAAAGTATAAAACAGACAGATCATATTTATAATAAAAAAATAAATATAAAGTATAAATAAATTAATAATAAATTTCTAATTAAAATATATATATGTTGAATATAATTAATTAATTTAATTTATATTTCTGAATGGTAACTAATTATAATCCAATAAATAATAATAATTATAAATATAATAAATTAAATATAAATAATAATAAAGAGAGAATAAATAAAAATATAAAGAAAATATTAATAATATATATAATTAAAATATTAATAATCTAAATTAATAATTATGATATATATAATAATTATTTGTATACTAATATGTTAAATCTAATATATTAAATATATAATAATCATTTATATATTCAAAATAAAATTGATTTTTAAGAAAAAGTAATACAAAGCTAATTTATAATATAAATAGTATAAAATAAAGATCTGAACTAAAAAAAGATAATTCAATTAAAATTATTATATATTCCCCTACTTAAAGTATAATATTCTTATTATATTTAAGTGCATAATATTTTAAAGATATTAATTTTTTTTATAGTATTTTTTAAGTTTTTCAGAGATTTTTAAGTTATATTATAGAGAGAATAATCAAGTTATTTAAGAAGGTATTGGAATTATAATAATGAATTCTTTTATTAAGAATATTTTTTATCTCATATTCTTTTTTATTATCTAATATAATAATTACTAGTAATAATTAGTATCTATTATATTCATGATCTGAGTTATATTTTTTTAATAATGAAATATGAAATATCAAAAGTAATTTCATATTATATAGTAATTATAATTTATACAGTGATCAATATAAATATTTGAAATATTAATCTGATATACAAAATATCATATAATATTATTAATTTTAAACTAATACATATATAAAATTAGAATTACTTTATTTAATAATAAATATAATAATATAAATATTTTTATTATTATTTTTTATATCTGTTAATAAAAAAATAAAAAAAAATAAAAAAAATATTATCTATTTCCAAGTATAAAGTATAAAAAATAGTAGTAAGTTAGCTTTAAGCAAATAATAATATGAATAATAGATCTATAATATATAATATAATTAATTGAATTAAAAAATCATCAAGTATTATATTACTTTCCAGATCTGAAAGATCTCTAATTTTCATAGTTAAATAATATTATATTCTTGACTAGTTAATATAGATTAATAATATTACTAATATAACTGAATAACTGAAAAACTTAAATAAAAAGATTTTAACTTAAAAGTTTTTATTCATATAATTTAATATAGCTTAAAAAAATCTTTATTTGATATTTATTATTTATTATGAATTCTTCTTTTATAATTCTATTATATTATAGCTTATTTTGAATAGACATAGAAATATATTTATCAAAATTAGTCTTACACAATTTTTTCTGATAAAATAACTTTCCAAATATTCAAAAATATTTAACTACTAAGATATTATTATGAAATATTATGATTATATAAAAATATAATAAAGTATTCTTATAATATTTATACTTGAGATACTTTTAATATAAGAATTAATTATACTTATTTTGTTTACTAAAAACTAAAATATCAAGAAATTCTTGAAATATATATTTTTTTTCATATATTTATAGTAAATTATAGATTATATTTTTAATAAGATAACTTTCTAATTTATAATGTAAATAAAATAATTAATCTTTTTTATTATTATGATGTTTAAATTCTTGATTGATCTTCTTACTTATTAGATATCAATCTCATTGAGAATTTGTAAGTTATACTTTAAGAAAAAAATGGAAAAGAAGATAAATTTATAATTAATCAAAAAAAACTTTTAATAACAGAATTTTAAATGATAATATAAATAGAATAGATGAGTTTGAGTAAAGATTTTTTTTTAATTAGTAAAAAGTATGAAAAATTATATTTCAATGGTAATTAAATAAGAGAAAAAAAATTAATTATTAAATTTTTATAAATAGTTAATAATCATATTTGAGAATATACATATAAAATTTTTACACATATTAATAATAAAAATAAAATATCTTATCTATTATAATAAATTTTGGATATTTATATTGATCACTATATATGATAATATAACAAATATATATAATTATTAGTACTAGATTTTCTAGCAAAATAATAATTTAAAATACTACTTAAATAATATAAAGAATAATCTCAAAGCTTGACTATCAGAATATATTCTTTTATAATTGTTATATAGTTTTGATCTTAATTTAATCAAAAATATCTGGTTATTTTTTAAATAAAATATTGATAAAAATTATTACTCAAAAAAAATCAGTATTATAGAAGACTTTTATCATGCTAATAGAGAATGAGTAGATAAATTTTTCTGAGAAGCTGATCTTTAGCTATATTAGCAATATGCAGATCATGTTCAAGTCTGTATTGACAAGGAAGAAGAAAATATTCAATATTAATATTTTATATGAATATATTGTCCTATTTAATCACATTTTGAAAATAAATTTTTTTTGTATTTTATTATTTAAATTTTTTTATTTTTGAAAAAATTCATCCATTACTTTTCATGCTGACTATAATATTATCAACTTTTGATTATCATAATACTGATAAGAAAGGAGACTTAGCAATAGGATGATATAAAAGATAATAAGTTGAATACATGCTAGATTTAAATAATGATTGAAATTCAAGATAAAGTTATGATATTCATGTCAGGAGTATATATAAGTAAAACATGCAGTTATTATAAATATATTTGGATGGAGATAAAGAGAACTTTGAATTAATAGTAACTTAAATGACACCAGGGGAATTTTCCTCTTGATAGAGTCTTAATTATGCAACATAGCTATGCCAATTGGTTGATTTTCGCTATTCAGTTTTTACTTCAAACTGATAATAGTAAATAAAGTTTATTGGCAAGTGTGGAATATTAAACAATTCGATAGTATGAAATTTCTGGAAATATAATAATTAGTAGACAAAGAAAAAATTTTATTTTAATTCTTCAAAATTCCCCTCCCTACATATAATCTTATTAACTGATAAACTAAATTTATTTGTTTTACCATTACGTTATTTATCTGCTCATGATATGAGAAATTGGTTAAGTGAAAAAAAGGTTCTATGTGAACCGTCATTAAGAATTAGGCTGATTAAGAAATCTAACGTAATACATTATTAATATTTACATAATTTTTTTCTAAATTTGTTCCATCTTGTTTTGCATGACAATTACCAAAATGCATCCGCTCAATGTTAAAATAGTTAACACACCACCGATAATAATCCCGCATATACCATCATGAAAATGGGTTTTGGTGATTTTATTTTGTAGCAGAAAGTAACGAACCAGCCCAAATAACAGAAAAAAAATCGCGAGAGCTATAAATGCGATGCCTAATGGCTTGACAAAATTTTGTTTGGAAGAGTCATTTATTCGGAATTCACCAGTAGTAGCTATCAAATTAGACAAATTATATTATTTTTTTGGAATATCATAAATCATCTTTGGATTTACAAAGCTTTCTTACCAATTCCAATTGTAATAAAAGATAATGATGTTCTTAGCCAAGCTAGAAACGTTCTTTCATTTGCTATTTTTTAATAAGAACTCCACGAAATCAATTTTTTATCATGTATTAGTCTTAACTATAGATTAAATCCATTACCTAAATGATCCCGAGCAACACTTGGTTCATTCGATAAATAGAGAGTCGCTTTCCAACCTCTTGATTTCAATGAACCAAATATCCGTTGTGGAAAATCTGATAAAATATCCATAATTTTATTACTTTTAAGTTAAACTCTTTTAAAAGTAAAAAAAATTTAATGTTTTATTATATATTTGATAATCTCGCCCCTTTGGCCTCTTGGTTTTTTTTTCGTGTGTTACAAAAGTAATAAAAAACGCTCATTTTTCAGATGCATTTTGGCGTAAATAAAAACTTTATTGAGTATGATCGTATGAAAAACTGAGTAACCAATCATTGTTATCCCCAATCATTAGGATAAACACCAGTCACGTGATATAGACTAGCTACATGCACATGTAATATGCAATAAAGATTGCGTGCTCACAGAAATTCCCATAGTTGTGTATTTAGAAACTAAATTAGGGAGGCATGGTATCAAAAAATTTCGCGGGGTCAAATTGCCTCCAAGCTTTTTGGACTGTATAAAATGGTGAGGTGTAGATAATTTTTCGTAAACTTTTTTTGCTTCACGCAATGGTTGATGACACAAATTTTCGGAATATTTAGAATAAAAATAATGAGGTTTTTTATCATCAAAAGTGTATAATATTTCACGTGATACAGAAAGATAAGCAAACTTTAATCTGTCCACTGGCTTTCGCACGAAAAACTAGCAAAAAAGGTTGTCATAATACGTAACAATAAAGCATGCGTCCTACAGTTTGTGCACAGATGATCTCATAGATGCGGGTACCAATTGATGCGGGTACAAATTCTAACGGCAAAAAAAAACTTTTTCATAATCTTTATATCAACAATAAGCACAAATTTTTCTATTGTGTCAGATTGAATTATAACTGGTTATTACTTTTCAAAAATGTTGTAATCTGTAATAAACAAAGTAGTGTTAATCGTTGCAAGATATCCGAAAATCAAAAAAAAAACGAAGGAAAACAATGAGCGATATTCAAATACAACAAAATCAAATTTCTGAAAATATACCGTCGAGTCAAAAGAAGAAATTTTTTAATTTTAAATTTAAAGGGACAACCCTCTATTTAGAGAATAAAGGCAGTATTGCTAGAGATCATTTGGGTAGGATAGAATTAAATGACCGGAAATTTTAGAGAATATGATTTAATTAGCTTCTTTGACTTTATAGCAAATGAGAGAACATTTCTTGCATGGCTACGTACTTCTTTGTCATTCTCTGGAATCGGAATTGGTAAATTGAACTATTTTCATTAAAAATCGAATATATTCATTTGCATGTATTAACTATTTTTTACTATTTAATATCCAGCTCTTTCTCAACTATTTCGACTAAATATATCAGATGGAACGATCTTTTTAAGTGTCGGTAAAATAACCGGAAAAATATTATCTCTCGCATTTATCGCACTCGGAATGGTGTTTTTATTGATGGGTATTTTGCGGTATTTTAATTCTCAGGTTACAATGACAAAAGGACAATTTCCTGCTACAAGATTGAGTATTATTGTTGCTACTTTTTTAACAATTGCTATATTGATTGGGATTACGTTTGTTTTGCTGATGATAGATTAACGTAAAAAGATCAAAAAGAAAATCAATTTGTAAGCTATTGAATGGAAAAATGCACATCAATGAAAATGTGTTATAGTAGAAGTCAAAAGTATCAGAACAATTAAAATATTTTAGATTAGATAATATAATATAAATCTAGATTATACAAGTTTTTACATGAAAGTTGCATTTTAAAATCAAATTTTTAGACAAATAAAATTATTGAATTAAATATTTTTATTATTATTATGGATTGGTGTGAAAAGATTTGTACTTCAGATAAGCATTAATAAATCATTTTTTCAAAATAAAATTTTAACTCTGTCTTATTTAATTAAGTTATTAGAGATTAGAATTTATTTAAATGTAAAAATTTTTATTATATATCTTTTATAAAAAAAATTTTACTAATAATAACTTTTTTCAATTATTATTTCTTAAATT